CGTCCAGGAATACTTCGAGTGGGCAGCACAGGTGGTGAAGGGGCTTCAGGGAACAAACCAACAACTGGAAGAGGCTCTAAAACAGCTGTTCAAGGAGCGTGGGCTGACACTCTGAGCAGTGCTGGGAGCCATGGGTGCTACTGACTCCAGCCCTCCCATGCCAGACCGGATTCATACTTAAGTTTTTCAGTGCCTCCTGATCTCCCTCCATGCTTCTCTCAGCCCAGATATTGAAGGTTAAAAATACTTGCCTTTTCTTACTCTGAAGGTTTCCCACCAACTAAACTGAGCCTGGAATGTGGGAAGCAGATGTACTCCCTCCATTTCTAACCCAGTCACTGCCCTCTCCTAAGTCCTGGGTCTGTTTACTATTTTGCATGGTGGGATCTCGAGCCCCTTAGAGACCTGTGCTTGTATAAACACTGGTTAGATGTCATCATGGAAAATAAAGCAAGTGGGGTAAAGTTTTAAGTTGCTCTCCTCCTTCCCCAGCCTCCTCAGTAGACACCGATATGTTGTAGGCTTGTCCTCCACAATGCAGGTTTCCAAAAATGTGTCCCCGGTGTCAGCTCCTTCTGATTGAGGGCTTCAACCCCTGGAGCCTGGCTTCCTTCTCACAGCTGGGCTGTGTCATTATAAGGGTCAGATTACGAGACAGACAGAAAGGGTCTTCATTAAAATAACTGGAAAGTAATACCAGCGCTTACTGGAAATCCTGCCTGGGCACTGAGAGGCCGAAGCCCCAATAGGAGACGGCCGGTGGGGGCTTCTATTCTCTACCCTAGACCGCCAGGTGATGGGCAGTCCACCTAGGAGTCGCTCTAAGAAATTGGGTGTTCCCGCGGTTGCTAAGCAACAGGAACTTCCGGACGTCCCGGAAGTGGCCTTGGGGAGGCAGTTCCGGTGAGTGAATCTGTTGTTGGTTAGCTGATCAGTGCTAAGCAGCTAGGGTTTTTTTAGTTGTCTTGAAAAGCAGTCAAACTAGGGACTGTTTCATGTAGGACCACGGTGGTTATTTATCCAAATGAAGGTACCAGTATAGGGTTCCTCGAAAAAAGTAGGTGAAGGGCAACAAAAAAGCTGACATTGAAATAAAACTGTCCCAGGTTTTGATCGACGTTCAGCGTGATCCTCTTAAGGCAGACCAGGGTATGGTACATTTTGGTTTTAATTTAAAATCAGTTTTGCGTCGGGCACAGTGATCCACGCCTGAAATCCCAGCGTCTCCTTAGGCTGTGAAGCAGGAAGATCTCAAAATTCAAGGCCAGTCTGGGCAACTAAGCGATACCCTGGCTGGGGGTGTAGTTCAGTGGCTCAGTCCCCAGTACAAAAAAAAAAAAAAAAAAAAAAAAAATTTGCGGAAGCGCAATTGCAAGATTTTTTTTTTTTAACTTCCTTACACTTAAAATATTAACGTAAGTTTGCACGCAGTTCACAATAACCAAATTATGGAATCAGCCCACATGCCTATCACAGGTGGATAAAGAATATGTGAAATATATACATAATGGAGTTTTACTCAGCTATAAAGAATGAAATTGTGACATTTGCTAATATGTGGATGGAACTGGAGAAAATGCTAAGTGGAATAAATCAGTCAAGGTCGAATGTTTTCTCATATACAGAAGCTAGAGTAAATAAACAGGAAGATGGAGAGGGGAGACACCATGAAAATGGGAGATCAGTGGGGAGGAACAGTGGAATGAGGTTGACCAGATTGTGCTGTGTGTGTGTGTGAATGTGCCGCGGTGAAGTCTATCTTTATGTGTAAAGTGTCAATTTATAAAAACAATAAATAGATGGGGGAAATGGAGTAAAGTGGAGAAGAAGGGAAACGTACTAGGGACGGAAATGGGTCAACTTCTATTCCACACGTGTGATTATGTCAAAATGAACCTATTGTGTGTAGCTCTAATACGCCAATAAAACCATAAATAAGTCTGCAGTTTTTAAGTGATTTGAAGTTAAAAATTTTAAAGTTTTAGGACATTTAATAAACATTGATTCCCTCTGTACCTTTAGAATGCAAAGATGAAGACTGTCACAAGGTTTTTTTTTGTTTTGTTTTGTTTTGTTTTTTGTACCAGGGATTGAACTCTGGGGCACTCAACCACTGAGCCATATCCCCAGCCCTATTTTGTATTTTATTTAGAGACAGGGTCTCACCGAGTTTCTAAGCACCTCGCCAGTGCTGAGGCTGGCTTTGAACTAGCGATCCTCTGGTCTCAGCCTCCCAAGACACTGGGTTTACAGGTGTACACCACCAGGCCGGGCACAAGGTAACATTTTTAAAAGTTACTTCATATGTTTTTATAGACATCAGAAAAAAAATTTTTTTAAAGAGATGTCTGGCTGTGTTACCCAGGCTGGTCTTGAACTCATGGGCTCAAGATCCTCCAGTCTCAGTCTCCAGAGTAGCTGGGATTATAGGCATTCACCACTGCACCAGGCAAAGGTTTTCTTTTGTTTGGGGTTTTCTTTTGGTGCAGTGGATCAAACCCAGGGACTCCTGCATGCTAAGCACCCACTTTACCACTGAGCTACACCCCCAGCTCTTAAAAGAATTTTAAGTTATGGTAAAATGTAAGAAAATCTACCATCTTAGCCATTTTTAAGTGCACAGTAGGTGGCATTAAGTAGATTCACATTGTGCCAGGATGGTGATGCACATCTGTATTCCAAGTGCCTTAGGAGGCCAAGACAAGAGGATCTCAAGTTTGAAGCCAGTCTCTGTGCAACTTAGCAAGACCCTGTCTCAAAAATAAGGGCTAGGGATGTAGCTCAGTGGTAGAGCACCCATGAGTTTAATCCCCAGTACCAGACACAAAAAGGAAAAAAATATGTATATTCACATTGTTGTTTAACCATCACTACCATCCAGCTTCAGAATTTTTTTCATCTTTATTTTTGTGTGTGTGTGTTCTATAAGTGATTGGAGCTTTATCACTAAAGTACATCTACACCCCAAGTTTTTTTTTGTTGTTGTTGCTGTTTGGTATGGGAAGGGCATGAGGCCTTTTACAAGGTCCTTTATCTTATTCACCAGAAAGAAGCCCTTAAGACCTAATAACCTCCCAAGGCCCCATCTCTTCATATTGTTGCACTGGAGATTGTTTCAACATGAATTTTGGAGGGACACACATTAAAACCATAGCACTACATTCTTACAAGGAAATCTTTCTTCTGAGGGACCTTCTCAAGTCCTCTACCCTGTTGTCAAATCTTCAATCCTTGTCACATTCTAGATACCTAGGAATCCTCACCCCCAGCTCAGGCATCCTGTGCCAAGGCTACTCTAATTATGTGGAGTTCACATTTAGTTCAGGTTTATTCTCTACTAGGGAGGTCCAAAGTCAGTAGCCAATTTGGATGAACACTTTGTATTGCCCTATCGGTCCTGGCAATTATGATCTGGATTTTTTTCCCACTGACCTAAGTTATGCTTCAAGGGATCTGTCATCTCTTACTGAAACTTGCCCTTTGAATGTCCTTTGCACACATTTTCGTTAGGGAAGAACCAAGTTTTATGTTTTTGGTACCAGGAATTGAAACCAAGGGTGTTTACCCACTGAGCCTCATTCCCAGCCCTTTTTATGTTTTGATACAGGGTCTCCCTAAGTTGCTGAAGCTGGCTTTGAACTTGCAATCCTTCTGCCTCAGCCTCCTGAGTCACTGGGATCACAGGCATGCAGCATCCTTCCCAGCAAGAACAAAGATTTTGTTGGGAGATCTTTACCTTGGAGGATCTCATTCCTACTACTCTAGAATGACCCACGACTCCAGTGCTATTTCCTTTTGCTGACCACAATCACATCAGGCAGGTCAAGTTCGGGCTAAAGATGTTATCTGCACAGGTGTTCAAGGTTACAATCATGCCCTATGCAAGCCACATCTGAACACTGGGCCTGGTTCTTTCTGCATGGAAAGACCCAGCTCTTTGCCTGTGCCTGCCTTTCTTTCCATGCTTCCAACTAGACATACAACTCTTTCCACTTCAAAAGAAATGTGTGGTTCTAAGTAGATGAAAGGTTGCAGAAAGCAATCAAATCTTACTTCTGGGTGAAGTTACTTCTGGTTCTAGGTTTGATTAAAACCGTAAGCCTCAGTGCTGGAGCTCCATGATTAAGGGTTGTTGCTTGCTTTAAAACAGTAGGCCTAGGGCTGGGGTTGTGGTAGTGGTAGAGCGCCCACCTATCATGTGTGAGGCACTGGGTTCAATCCTCAGCACCACATAAAAATGAAACATATTGTATCCCACTTACAACTAAAAAATTAAAAAACAAAACAGTAGGCCCATTTACAAATCTTGTGCTCTCAAGAATCAACTGGATGCTTATTCAAAATGCAAATTCTAGCCTGGTACAATGGTGTATGCCTACAATCCCACTGGCTCAGCACCTCACTGAGGCCTGGTTGGGCAATTTAGTGAGACCTCAACTCAAAAATAAAAAGGTTTGGCATGTAGCTCAGTGGCATAGCACCCCTGGGTTTTTAATCACCAGTATCCCTCTATCAACAATAACATTCTTTGGTGTGGTCTCTTGCTCCCAGACAGGTTCAAAGGTTGTACCCTATGCACTAAAACAGGCTTTTGTTTCTTGCTACTGTTGCAGCATCAGACTTAGGACAGCTGTGGCTCTGCTCCAGACATCATTGCAACACCCAGACCAAAGGAGAATCCCTATTTAGGATAAGACAGAAACCCATACTTCCAACTAGGAACTCTGATGATCCCTGAACCACTTTTTTTTTTTTTTTGGACATTGAACCCAGGAGGGCTTTACCACTGAGCTAGATCCCTGGCCATTTTTGTTTAGAGACAAATTGCTGGGGCTGGCCTCAAACTTGGAATTCTCCTGCCTCAGACTCGACTGCTGGAATTACAGGCATGTGTCACCATGCCAGGGTCTGGACCATATCTTGAACAATGCTGCCTTATTATTTTAAAAGGCTAGTGTATAACATAATTCCTGTCAAGACAAATAATTTCACTGCACATCTAAGACCTCCAAAGATAATATCCTTTATTCTGCTAATTTCCTAGGGGTTCACAGATTCTCTCTTATCATTTCATTACAAATCATATACTAGCAAATAACACTTGCCGTAATTGCTTAGCAACCTTTACCAATATGGTTATAACTCCTATTCGTGGAGCTCTTCTGTGTACGAGGCACTATGCTGAGTACTTCACATTTGTTACCTTAGTTCTTCCATCAGGTTATGGACAGGATTCCACGAGCTATGGCCTGACATTGGCACAAAGATTCTGGCAAACCCACAAAAACTTGGCCTTGTCACTCTTTGAGATTTCAGATGGCTCCTGGCAGGCCCCCAGTGACTTTGAGGACCCTAAAGCAAATTTTCTAATCATACTGATTTTTACTACACCACAAATATTTTCTCCCACATCTGACATTTATATTTCAACCTGATGTTTCTCATAGCACAGAAACTCAATTTTGTGTGTCTGGTAAGATGTTTTTCTTTTTGGTTTCATGTTTTCAAAAGACCTTCCTACATCAGTTATAAAAATATATTTTCTTATTTTGTTTTTTTCCCCCTCTCAAACTAATTTTTGTGGAAACTGAGGTAGAGATCTTACTCTAATAAGTCATCTCAAAGTATTATTTATTAAATAATCCATCTTTTCCCCCATTTAAAATACTCCCATTTAAAAAAAAAAAATTTACCATATACTAAATCCCTATGTACCCAGGACTGTTTCCGGATTCTCCATACTGTCCCATCTGTCTGACCCAGTCTGTTATACTAATTAAATTCATGCTAGCCAGAGTCCTTTGGGAAATCTGGTAGGACAAGTGCCTTTTACCCACCTCAGCACCATCACTGGACTCATCGCCATTCGGAGATACCTTGATATTCTCATGCCTTTACTCTTCCAAATGAACTTCAGAAGCTACTGAATTTCAAAAAGTATCCAATCTCATTGGAATTACATTGAATTGAGCCGATTTAGGGAGAACCAAAATCTTTACAGGAACATGTTTAGTACTGGCTCAATTTACAGAATGCACTTCCTAGGTCTTCAGCCAATTCTGCTGGATTTCATAGGCAGGCTGCTTTAGGGTCTATAGATGATGGCAATTATAACCCTTCCTTACCTCCTTCACTTGACTTGTTGCAGGGGTAAGTAATGCCAGACACTGCTAAACCACAGCACCCCTGGCTAGTTTCTTACCCTCATTGGGAATGCTTATGGTGTTTGACTCTTCAGAGTGCCATTAACTGTTTCTGACATGGACCTTTTCTAGATTAGTAAGTTTCTTTCTTAGAATTTTAAGAAGGGGTGGATTTTATTTTTGTGGTGCTGGGGATCAAACCCAGAGCCTCATGCTTGCTAGGCAAACACTCTACTCACGAAGCCACATCCCCAGCCCTAGGGGGGGGATTTTAAATTTTATCAAATATCTCTTCAGCATCTATAGAGACTATTATAAATTTTTCTCTATTATTTGAAGCTGAAATGAAGACTCATGAGCAGTCCTACCACTTCCTAATTTAGTCTACATATCCCTCATCCCCCGTGTCAAGAATTGAATACTGTAAAAGGATGGGCCAAAGGTGAGGCTTCGAGGCCTGCTAGGCATGGCACCGAAAGTCGTCTCAAGTTGCCCAAGCCTGGAGGGTCTTGGAGGTTTCACTTTCTTTCCAGGACCAAACCCCTCATGATAGAAAGTTCTTGGAGGCAGTAGTGCAGAGAGTAAAGGGAACAAACCAGAGTCAGGTAGGGTGGAGAACCCCCGCTAAGCCCCAGCCACCAATCCCATTAATCAACACACAGACAAACTGCCCAATTTGAGATGGGGGTTTTGGTATCTGAAATGTTCTATGCCCTCTGGCCATAAGTCTCTAGTGAGTCCTTCCTGCCATCCTGCAGCCCCCACCAGGATGTGCAGGCCCAGTGGCATTTAGGGTAGAGCCATCACAGAAAGCAGAAAAGCCTTCAGGCCCTTAGGAGAAACTGCGATTCCTTCTACTCCTCCACCCCACCGCTAACTGTGGGTCCCCATCCTTCTCTTCCCACTGATCCTGCTCCTTATACCAGGATACATGGTCTCTTCTTCACCACAGGATTCCCCTAGAGTAAGCTCTCATCTGTAGTCACCCGACACTGGGCCTTACCCACTTAGCTTCCCTGACCTCCTGTCTGTCCCCACTCCTCCCACATCCCACTTTGGGAAAAGGATGGGTACTTGAGCTTGTGCCCAAGCATGTGGCCACTCAACCCAGAGCAGAGTCTGGTACCATCAACCCCGACCAATGGCTTCCTCTCCCTCATCTCACCAGCATCTGCCCTACCTGCCCACCACTGGGCATTGCCCTAAATACAGAAGGAACAATAAACAAGATGAGGGGAGAGCCCAGTCTGTCAGGTTTTAGAGGCAGATTGGATGGGATACCCAGTGTGGCTTGTCCAACCCATTCTCAGTGTTAAGAGGCAGTCTTTGTGGATGAGCTTTTTCTTCAGGCCACAAGAAGCCTTAACCCAAGCGGAGGCGAAAGGTGGCGATCTCCATGGGTTCCAGATAGATGTCAGTGCTGTTGGAGGGTGAGGCTAGAGGGTACAATAGTGTCAAGGAGGTTGGCTGTAGGAATCCCACATCCAGGCCATGGAAAAGGCTACCTAGGGCTACCTGTGGAGAGAGAAGACACCGGGCTGTGCTAGATACTCCTAAACAGAAACACTTGTCATCTACATCACTAGTGTTAACTCTTTAGCAATCTGACAGAGTAACTCAGTATTAGAGTACTTGCCCACCATGTGCAAAACCCTAGTTTCAGCACTTCAAAAAAAAAAAAGCAACAAGGCTTCATACATATATACATTGGTATCCAACCTCCAGGGCTCACCGAGATTTGCTCAACCCCAAAGCCCATCTGTGGATCTCAGGGTGGGAACCATTTCACTGAGATGCAACCACTTTGAGGACAGTGACTAATCTTCTAAATCACCAGTGGCTTGCAAAGAGTCTGGCATATGAGGGCATTTAATGCCAACTGAAACCACAAATACAGCTCACAAAGGACCAGCATCATGGATTTAGTTTTACATGCCTGGTGTTACGTCCCTGATCCTCAGGGAACAGAAGTTCTCTAGCTCCATGCCATGTCTGGAGCTGCCCCTACCAAGGCCTCAGTTACTGAAAACATGTGTCAATGGCTTCCTCCTTTCTCTATGGAAAGCCTTGAAATGAGTGACACTTTCTTCTTTCATCCTGCTGTCCAACCCCAGTCCTCTCCCCATAAGCTCTTGCTCTTATATTCCCAGTGCCTCAGCTTCCCTGCCTCCCCACATCAGGTGTTTCACCTTCCATCCCTGGGACCCACTCACCTTGCCCTGGCTTGTGGTACAGTTGAAGCCCAAGTTCTTGGCCTCAAGGCTGCAGTCAAAACCCTTGCGGTGTAAGATAAATGCAGTGTCTGATGAGGGCAAGTTATCTTCCTGGACAACAGGAGGAAAGACAATGACTGGCAGGGCTCTGCAGAATTCAGAAAGGCAGCAATACCCTGCCCAAAAGGCAAGTGCTGGGAACAGGGAGTGAGGGGGACCAGAATTTGGTCCTGGAAGTTCTGAGCCCAAAGGGACACTCACCTCGCCTGGAAGCGTACGTAGGTTGAGCAAGTGGAAGTCACAGGGCAGTGCGGAAGCCAGAGGATGAAATGAGTGCAGACTGGAGCCTGGGAGCTGCCTCTTGGCTACGGGCAGGGCAAGCACAGGGGTATTCAGGTACATGGAGGTCAGGTGGCTGAGGAGGGATGGGTAGCTGGTAGAGCGGCCTTCTTGGACCTGCAAGATGGACCGGAGATATGAATGAGGGAGCAAAGCCAGGCTAATAGGTAAAGGTGAGGCAGAGTAACACTACACCAGGCCAGTTCCTTTGGCAGGAGCTTTCCTGGTGTTGTCTGGATGCAGGCACTGCCTGGCTCCAGATCCTGCACCTTTAACTCTTCATTGTAACTACTTTCCATAATACCCAACTCAGAGGGCTATTTTACAGGCCACTTCTTCCCTACGTTTTATTATTATTTTATTATTACTCCAAAATATATCATGAGCAACATTCATCAGTGACACCTCCCATCAGAGATCCTCAGTGCAGGTGGGGAATGAAGACACTTCACCATGGAGGATGGGCCTTGGATGGACAAAGTGTTCTGAGCCATCCTGTGGTCTCCAATAACACACCATACCCACTGTGCCAGCTTGATGCCCAGGACAATGGTCCCCCATGGCTCTGCCAACTGAAGACGACTCCTTAAGATAGCTCCCCGACATGTCACACTCATGGATCTATGTGGAACTTTCCCTCAAAGCTGCTGCTTTTCTGTGTTCTGATTTCTGTCCCTATTACTACTCTCCTAGTTGCCCAGAATCTCACTTCCCTCTACTTTGATCTCCAGGGACAGGTGGTTACCAAACCCTCCTCCATTCCGCCTCTGCAGTATACCGTTAGCTACCCCAATTCCTTTCTCCCACCCATGGCCTGGTTCAAGTTCAACCCACCAACACTTCCTATTTGAACAACCTTCAAATTCTTACTCATGCCTGTCTTCCTACACACAAAGCCACCGGCTCCCTGCTGTTGGAATGATATGATGAGTAGAGTCCATGTAGTGTCCCTCCCTGCTCAGGTCTTTCCTTGGTGTCCAGATTCTTTGGCCAGACATTCATGGACTCTGCAGTCTGCCCCTACTATCCCACAATGCTGTATCCCAGCACTTGCCCACAGAGCTTTCTGTAATAATGGAAATGTACTGTAACTGCACTTAGCCAACTTGGGACCACTAACGATTTGAAATGTTGCCAGTATGAATGAAAAACTGAATTTTTAATTTCATTTTATTTGCATAGCCACATGTGGCTGGTAGCTACCATAATGGACAGTGCAGCTCCCACTCATATTCTTTCTTGCCTTCCACCCATTCCCTGGGGTGTGTGTGTTTGTGCTTTGATAATGGGGATTGAACCTAGGGGCACTGGATCACTGAATTACAGTGATCCAGTGCCCCTAGGTTTTGATTTTTTAGTTTTTACTTATTTATTTTTGTATGTGGTGCTGGGGATTGAACCCAGGGCATTGTGCATGCAAGGCAAGCACCCTACCAACTGAGCCATATCCCAGCCCTTATTTTTTTTTATTTTGAGACAGGGTCTCGCCAAGTTGGTTAGGGTCTCACTAAATTTTTAAGGCTGACTTTGAACTTGCAACACTCCAGTCTCAGCCTCTCAAGATGCTGGGATTACAGGCATGTGCCACCACGCCTGGTACCCAGTCATTTTTGAGAAAGCTTGCTAAGTTCCTGAGACTGGCCTCAAATTTGAGATTCTCCTGCCTCAGCCTCCTGAGTCACTAGGATTACACAAGTGTGCCACTGTGCCCAGCTCATGTGTTTATATCATAACCCCATTTATCAAAGCCGCTCTTGGAAGACACATCCTCCAAGAAAATTGTCCTTGATGTCTTCAGGACCAGCGGGACACATCCATTTCTACTCTGTACTTTTACACTCAGAGTTGACTCTACCCCTACTCACGGGGAAATTGCTAAAAGTCAGCAGCATCATATGCACTGATGGCCCCCTCAGGTCCTACAGCACAGCAGGGGCTCAGTATCCATGTGATTAAGGAGTGACTGAGCCCCAGACATGTGACACTAGACAGCAGGCTCCAGCTACAGTGACGGCTTGCTTATACTAGTTCTCTAGTCCCATCGCTGTCCCTTACCTCTTGGTCACTGCTCCTGCTGCTGTGAAAGATCAAGTCCCTAAACATGGCTGCCAGTTTGGAGAAATAGCCTGGCTGGTGGGGGCAAAGAAAGCCATGATTATGAGCAGGGTTGGAGCAGAAGGTTAGAAAATGTTGGGGCGAGGGGAGGGAAGAAGGATCACAGAGGAAGGTGGCAAATGAACATGAAGGGAACTTAGGAAACAGGATGCAGCCAGAAGAGGAGGTGCCAGGTTGCATGAGATGGATCACAAAATGACAGAAAGTCGCCCGCCACAACCCAGGAATTAAGCCCTCTCTGTCTATCCCTTGCCCTCCTCCACCTATGCTCAAATCCTTGGCCAGAACCCCAGGGCCACCCATAAGAACGAGCTTGCTCTGACTCCCTGGGCACTGGGATCAGATTTTACCTCACTGCCCACGGTTCGACGTTCTAACAGGAGGCGGAAACGGTTGCAGGTTCTCTTGTTGTCCTTGAGCCCTTGACCTAGTCCCCGGTTGTCATCCTGCATTAGCCGACGGTCTAAGATCACCTCCAGCTGGCCTGGGGAAGTTCACAGTGAGTCCACAGACTGCCATCCCAATCCCTAAGCAGACACTGGCCTAAGACAAGAATCCCAGCCCCAGGCCCTAAACCCAGTGAGGCAGACAAGAAGCTGAGTCATTCACAAACTAGGAGGGAGCTGAATGTGGGGCTGGTCCTGTGTCCTTGTTCTACAGATGAAGAAATAACAGGCCCCAAAAGGGACAGGCTGACCCTGGCCGCTCACTCTGAGTCAGGAGTCGGACCTAGGCTCAGGGGACCCAAGCAGGAAACCCTATTAAGACTGGCCACATGAAAAAAACAAACAGAAAACAGAGCAACACCATCTGTAGTGTGGCTGCAGATTCCCTCATTGGGGGCTGGTTTCTCAGACTGGGCAGTTCTGTTGTGACCAAAACCTGTTCTCCTACCCTTGCTCTACATGAGAACAGCTAGAAGGCCCAGCAGGCCAGACTTGGTCCTAACAGCCTTGTCTGTCAGAAGCTGGGTTGTACAGAGTCTGTGTAGGTCCAGTGCTCCTCATGCAAAGGTAGATCAGACAGGCTCAATGGGGCCTCTAGGCTGTCTTGGGGCAAAGAGATGGCAGATGACCACCTCAACTTTTTTTTTTTTTTTGGTAGTACTAGGGATTAAACCCAAGGGTACTTTATCACTGAGCCCAGCCCATTTTTTTTACTTATGTTAAGTCTTGTTAAGTTGCCCAGGCTGGCCTGAAACTTGCCATCCTTCTGCCTCAGACTCCCAAAATGCTGGGATTATAGGCATGCAACACGGAGCAGGCTTCCCTCAGCTCTCCTGAGGGAAGGCCACACCAGCTTCTCACACAGAGATGGCCCTGCTTCCCTTTCACTTCCACAGCCCTGACTCTGACTTCTGTAGTCTTTTTACCATGAGCAATCACAGAAAGTCATCTCGAAACCCTAAAATGAATCCTTTGGATAGAAAACAATCATTTCTTAACACAACAAACCCAGCAGGGCAGAAGGAGATAATCAAGCAAGAACACTGAGCTGTAGTCAGGAATCATGAGGTGGAGCAGCTGGGGCAGAGGGCAGTGTAGCCACACTCGCTCCTAGGGGAAGAAGGCCCCACCCTTCCACCACGCCCACACACACAGCCTTGAACCCACAGCAATTCAGCCTTCACAAAGGCTCTGTCCCATAGAAGACTTCAAGGGCCAAATTTAATTTTCCCCTGAGGCTATGGGAGCCACCTGGAGCTCACCCAGCATGATCAGTGGCCAGCTCTGATTCCACACCAGTGCGCTTCATGCCTTGGTTTTTTTGGTTTTGTTTTTTCAGTGCTGAGGATGAAACTCAGGGTCCAGCTTTGATTCTTTAAAGTGTCATCTTTTCTTCTATTGACCTTTAGCAGGTCATTAGAACGAGACAAATTTTTCTCCTTTTCTAAATATTTCACTATTAACATCAAGTATGCTTTTTAACTATCCATAATCTCATCTCTGGCCAGAATAAGGGTCACACATCTCATTAGAGAGTCACCATTTAATAACCTGATGCTTCTTGAGGGGACCTAACAGGACACCTGCCACTCAACGGCCACCCAGCTGCCTCCTCCAAGAGAGGAGAGAGCAATGCCTGCTTTCCTCCTATGGCCAGCTCTTGACGAGTGACAGAAGCTGAGGATGGCTCATCCCTCCTGCAAGCACAGAGGTGATGCAGACAAGAAAGACACTGAGAGAGGCCTACAGAGTGGAGACCCTCAAGGGTGTGATGAGCTGCTCCTCCCTGCCTCACACCCTCTGCAGAGCTCCTATTCTCCACTCACCATCCCTGAGGCTGGAGACGCCCAAGGCCTGAGCAGTGTGTAGTGTGAGGCGCTTCTGTGCATCCTGGATGTAGGCCATAACTGGCATGGGGTAGAAGTTAGCCTGCAGGGGCAGCTTCTTTAGATACCTCCGGGGCTGCACCTGTGGGGCCAAGGCCAGCAGGTCAAGGGCATCTAGGGACTCTTTGGGTCTTAAGGCATCCCCAGTCTGAAGGTGTCCCTGATTACTCTCATTTCCAGTTTCTTCTTTTACATCAGGGTAGACCACCCCCCATGTCCTGTGACGGAGGCCAAAAGCACAGTCCAGGTCTACTCTGATTAGGGCTCCAGCCCAGGAATCACCTGAAAGCCATTGAGGTCTGTGAAGAAGGTTCCCTGGCTGTCAATGTCTGTGTGGATGCGCAGGGCCAGCTCCTTGTTGACATAGTCCCGGATGTCCACCACGGATGACACATCCAGAGACAGCCCCTCTACCCCTGGCACAGGGAAAAAGGGGAGGGCATCAAGAGGAGTGAGAATAGGCCATGGATGAGAGCCTGGGCCAGGAAATCAAAGCTGAGCTGGGGAGAGGCTCTGCCCAACCCCCACCAAGCAATTCCCAGGGCATTTTTGAATGACCTTTTCTCTAAGAGAATTAAACATACCCGTCTTATGTGAAACACCTGTTGGGAGCAGATGTGTAAACAAAGGAGGGGCAGGAGGAGCAGCACATGAGCCCAGGGAGCCCACACTTCCTTTCCCACCCTTCCTTGTTCGCAGGACTCACCAGGCAGGTTATAAAGCCGGACCACCTGGTGAACATGCTCATAGTAGGCAACCACCTCTGAGTAGAAAGGGCCTTCGGTGACACGCAGCACAGGGGGGTCCTTGGGGGAATAGGGCTGGAGAAAAAGCAGGTGGCCACTGAGCCCACAGTGTGGAAAGAAAAGCAGGAGTTGGCAGCCCAGGGTTGGGCGAGATGTCTCATCTCATCAGGGTCTGGCCTAACCACCCCGGGACTGAGCTGCCCAACCCGCCAACCTCCTCCAGGCATCGAAGACAAGTCTTCCTGCATGAAGTGATCATCCTGAGGGATGCCTGTACCCCTCTTCTGGCCCTCCCTGATAGTGAAAAATACCAAGGCCTGCCGGGTTTTGTGAGACAACTCTCAGGTACCTTGGCCTCGCCGTCAGGCAGGAAGAGGTAGGCTCCACTCTTGTCCTTGGATGTACGAGTGCCATAGATGAGGAATTCCATGTTCATCTGCTGGTCCTGCTCCTCATCCACCCTTCGTATGCTCTGCCAAAAAACACAGCCCTGACCCCTGGCCCCACACCAGCATGTCAGGCCTGCCCCCTGGAGGGCACGGACTAATTTCCCCACGGAGCCAAGCCCAGTGCTACAAGTTTGGATCTTAAGTGTCTCTCAAAGGTCTGTGTATTAAAGGCTTGTTCTCTGTTGTGGGGCTACTGGAGGGAAGCAGAAGCTTTAAGAAGTAGGGTCTAGTGGGAGATTTTAGGTCATTAGAGGCATGCCCTTAAGGGGGAGAGTGAGTTCACTCACTCAGAGCCATGAGTGAACAGCTCTGCTCTAAGCTCCCCACCTGATGTTGCTGCCTCACCATAGGCCCAAAAAGCAGTGGTTCCACTCTTTTGAACTGTCCTAGAACTGCAAGCCAAAGTAAACCTTTTTGCTTTGTAAGTTGATTACCTCAGATACTTGTGCATATTTTTTTTCCTTTTTTGTTGTTCATTTTGTGGTGCTGGAGATCAAACCCAGGATCTCGTGCATGCTAGGCAGGTGCTCTAGCACTGAGCTATGTCCCCAGCTATCTCAGGTATTTGTCACAGTAACAAAAGGCTAACATACCTAGCTTCCTCATGTTGTCAGCTTGGAGCAAAGATGGCCCATGCCCAAGTCACTGTCAGGTGGCAGCAGCACTTGGGGTAGGAAAGCAGCTCTGCCCAACCCCACTGGCATGCACACCCTTTCCCACCACCCCTGGCCCTTTACCTTTGGGAGCCCAGTAAGGCCTGAGAACCAGACCTGCATGTAGCGGTTGCTGAGGGCAAAGTCACTGGATCCTGAGTCAATGACATGGAGAGGAAATGCATCATGCCTGCTCACAGAGAGCTGCCGGCCATGCAAGTAGACTCGCACAGAGGAGGGCAGTGTGCGGTGCCCATCCAGGCCCAGCTGTAGCTGCAGCACACCCAGGCCCAGGGCTGGCAGACGGATGGGCACAGATACCTGTGAGCACAGGAAGGGTGAGGAGGCATAGGCCATGGCCAAGGATCAATTCCAGATCCAGGAAGGGGAATTCTGGGGTACTGGGACATTTGCTTCCTAATAGTCTGAGCAAGCAACTACCCTGCAGGAGCCCTATCCCCTTCTCTGAAAATACTCCTTCTTGTCAGACTTAATCAGTCTCAAATGATACTTAAAAACTATAAAGTGGTAACCACACATTAAGCCTTCAACAAATATCTGTTGTGCTGTGACACATGCCTGTCATCCCAGCACTTGGGAGACAGAGGCAGGCAGATCACTTGAGCCCAGGAATTCAAGACCAGCCAGGGCAACAGAGCAAGACTCATAAATAAACAGACAGATACATAGATAAATATTTGCTGAATTAATGGATGAATGAAGAGGCCATTTTTATTATTACCATATCATCCTTCACTTTCCTTTCAAGGACAGAATCAAATCCTATCCTAAGAGTGACTAATCCTCTGGACAAGCCCTCTCCCAGACACCCATCCCCAGCCTGAGAAGTGAGAAAGGCACAGCAGAGAGGCAGGAACTAGATGTCCATGGGAGGGTAAGGCCCTGGCAAGAGGATACTGATTAGCAGAGGGGGCCAAAGCAAGGGCCCACCTGCCAAGCTCCTGCCTTACCTGGTAGACATCGGGGACCATGTCTGTGGCAGATCTCCAGTGTGCACTGATCTGCACAGCCAGGGGCTGACCCTCCTCTGAAAGAACACGCACACGGGGTGAGTTGACCAGCAGGGACACCACACTGAGCCGCTCCTGTTCCAGTGGGTTGAACAGCACCACAAACCTGTGGGTAGAGGGTGGGCTGAGCCAAGGGGCTGTTGCCACCAGCAGCATGGCAGGAACAGCAGCCAGGACAGAATCCTGCAGTGGGTCAGCAAGTACAGAGGTGGAAAGGCACTGGAAGCCAGGGAGTGGCTTTGCCCCTCGGCCCCTGGCCTGATCTGGCTCACCTGGGTGAGGAATCCAGCTGGATCACTGTACGCTCTGGCAGGGCATCATGATTTAAGCGGGTGTCATCCTGGAATTAAGTGGGTAAACAGGGAAAAAACATCAAGGGGCTTGGCCAGCCTGTCCTGGACGTGGACCACCCACTGTCCAGGACACAGAAATCTCATCCCCAGACAGGAAAGGAAGAAAGAGTAACACACCCGAAATGACAGTTGTTGGGATGGCACCCCCGCATGCTGGAGGGTCCATGCAGATCCAGGAGGGGGCTCACCATTTGGAGGAAGGGTGCCTCAGGGTCAAAGTGGTAGGTATCCTTGTCCCCTAGCACCAGATAATGAGCTGCATTGATGATAACCTGCTTCAGGCCAATGAGGGAGCGCAGGAGCCTGTGGCAGGGTAGGAGAGGAGACAGGGAGGAGATGACCAAAGGGAGGCAGCCTGCCCGCTGACCACCCTGCACATCCTCTTCTTGGGATGGTGGGTGGGTGGGTGAGAGGAGACAGCTCCTACCTGACACCATAGTCCACCACCACTGCCTCCTTGGCAGTTCCAGTGATGGCATCATGGTGCTGAAAGAGCCCCAGTGTGCGCCGAGCTTCCGTCAGGAGGGTGAAGTCAGACAGTGGGTACCGGCTGGCTAGTCCAGAGCGGCGGGCGTGGGTCACAGCCAGGCTGTACAGAATCTCTGCCCCCCTAGTCCAAGAGAAGAGTCAGCTGCCTGCCCACTCCACTCTGAGGGGCCATCCACATTCATTCCCTTTCCTTTCCCAACACTTCTCTTAAGCCTTGGCCTCTTGCCAAGCCAACTCTACTCCCCCAGCCTGCAAGGGAGTGGGGTCTCACCGAAGGTGGGCTTCTAGGACTCGGTCCAGACTCTTGTAGAAAGGTCTGGAAGTATAATAGCCTGTCCAGTAATGGTCCTCACGGTCCGCGTAGGAGAAGAAATCCCCGCTTAGCACAGGAAACCCTGGGGGCCGGGCCCCTGGTTCCACGCCTGTCCTCTTGTATAGAGCGTCAAAATAGTCAGAGAGGGTGCCAAACTGGGCCTGTGGGAACCCCAAAAATGAGCTCTCATGAGTTCCAGAGCCTCCTGGAATTCTGGTCACCAGTGCTGCAGCTGTGGAGGTCCACCTCAGCAGAGGGCATACCTTCTGGACCTAAAATAAAAGCTGGGGAGCCAGAAGTGAATTTTGACATAAAAGGGGAACCCTTGCTTTGGAGTAGCTAACGGGGATAGTCAGAGGAAAGCCCCCCTCCCTCAGCAATGCACCACCCCACACCTGCACGTGGAGTTCAGGCTTGCTGTTGAGGAAGTCAAAGAGCCGCTGGTAGTTGAAGAACTGGGCATCCCATTCCTGGGGCTTGTCATATCGGAAGTCATCGCCCAGTGGCACCAAGAGGACATTGCTTCGGAAGAGCCGAGACTTCTTCCTGTACTGGTCTAGGAGCAGGGCTGCCCTGAAGCAGGAAAGGACACAGGTTCCATATGAAGTCTCAGGGCTAAGAGATCTCCAAGCAGAGTCACCTCAAGAGTCAGCCCACTTTGAAACACCACTATGGAGTTGTTGTTCAGCCTGCAGATAGACACTTCCTGAGACAGGAAGCCCAGTCCCAGTGTTCTCTGGGACATTTCTGAGAACAGAAGAGTTCTTATCCTAGGCTGCAGTTGATGGCTTCAATTCCCTGATTCCACTTACGCCCTGTGACACAAGACAAATCAGTCCTTCCCCACGATTATCCTTCAGATACATCAAAGATGTGCTCATGCCCCTCGAGCTGTCAATTTGGTTCCTGGAGAACAATTTAGAATCTGCTCACCAGCAGTTCTCTGGCCAGTGACCTGAGTCAGGGCCCAGCACCTCATATGGAGGTCCACAGAGGGCAGACCCACCAGAGGAAGGCAGAACCACCCTCTTCAGCCAGGTCAGGACCCCAGAGAGCAGTGTGCAGAAAACTTCACTATCACCATGCTGATGGTCAGTTTCCATAGTTCTATGTATGTAGGTTTTTTTCCTTTACCTGAACTCACATGTTCTGTCTTCTGAAGCTAAGATGGAATCCTACATTTCTACCTGTTAAACCCTATCTGTCTTTTGGGAATCCCAGTTCTGAAGCTCCAGTGAACAATGCAGCACAGTACTATGGTGAAGAACCCAGACTCTGGAGCCAGATTTTGCTAGCTGAGTGACCTTAGGCAAGTAACTTAACCTCTTAGGGCTTCAGTTTCTGGAAAAATGAGGAAAACATCAGTATCATTACTGACACTGATGTCATTAACCCCCATGATGTTATAAGAATTAAAATTAATTGAATGAATTAATATTTAAGCAAGCATTTCAAATAGTGCCTGGCACATGGGAGGAACCATATACAAACATTTGCGTGTGTTTTTTCATCCATAGTATGGTTAAAATCAATAGAAAAATAGTGCCCCATAGCATATCATTGGAAAATCCTTTCTGTTTTCAGACCAACCTGTTAAATGACATGTTATGGATATCAAAGTCCTAGCAGTCACTAATCTAACTTAACAGGACAAGACAAGCTTTTTCTGTTCTATTTGGTTCTTAAAGAAAGGACTCCTCAAAGACCAACTACCCCTGATTTATCAGCTTAGCAAGCCCTTCAAAGGAAGAAATGTGGTTTTGTCTCCTGGCCTGTTCTCTGTGAACTGGGGTCAGAAACACAGATTGTCACTGCTGCTTTAGGAAAAACCACACCTACTTAATAGACCTATATTCCTGCCAGCAATCAGCATTTAGATTCCTGGAAACAAAAGACCATTTTCTTTCTCCTTTGGTCATAGGCCTCATCTCTTGTACATCATAGAAATCACAGCATTGCAACACAAAAACCAGTTCAACTTGTTATATTCTTGTTTTTTTTTTTTGTTTTTTGTTTTTTTGTGATGCTGGGACTCCAACCCAGGCCCTCACAAATGCTACCACTAAGCTACTCCCACAATCTTCAAATTTTTTATATTCTGGTGTTTCTTTTTTGTTTTTTTTTTTTTTTTTTTAGTGGAATCCAGGGGCACTTTACCACTGAGCTATATCCCCCACCCTTTTTGAGACAAGGGTCTTGCTCAATTGCCCAGGCTGGCCTTGAACTTCAGTCTTTCTGCATCAGTTTCTTGAGTCACTGGGATTACGGGCATGTACAACCACGCCCAGCAATGGCTCATTATTTTCTGAAGGTTTTCACTGAATCACTGTTTAGATCATGTTTAATCAACACTTTCTTAGTGGATTTCAGCCACTTTCCTAGTGCTGATTTCAGCCACAGTGATATCTTTGAGAGTCCGCAATTCTTTTCTCACAGGGACAAGTCTGTTTCCTCAGGGGGACTGAATACAGATCTGAATGGAATTCAGGTCCACTGAACACAGATCTTGGCTGACTTTGAGCCAAGTTAGAATATCTGAGCCAAATGAAGGCACATTTGCCTCAAGTTTGTAAGAAATTGTACCAATTTAATAATCATTCATCTGAGGCAGTCAACTGGCTCTGACAGCTTGCTGGGTCACCAGAAAACATAGTTCTTGGGGAAAATAAAAGTGTTCTGTAAAAGGCAGTTCCTTAGCACATTCTAGTTTTCTAGGAAGACTTCACAGCCACCACTGCAAATGCTGCAGGCCTGAACCCACTCTGAGCCCATACTCCATTTTCCAGATACCACCTGCACCATGCAGTCCCCGGACTCAGCAGAGCATGGCCAGGTCTCCTGACTCCTCTACGGAGCAAAAATGCTAACCCCATGCCCAGGCCAGAGCTGGAAACAGATACCTTTCTGCCACATTGGCCTCTGTGATGGCCCGGGGTGGCACTTTCCAAGGGCAGTTGATGCGTCCACCGGGCAGGCGTTTGAAATCAAACTGGCAGCAGATCTTGGGATCTGGGCCACAGGTATGAGGCACATCATAGCTGTAGAAGGGCATCATGTGGCAAAAGATGTCTGTGCTGGAATCCGAGTCTGCAGAAGACACATCACGTGGTCAACCAATGGCAAACAGCCTCAGGAATTGGGCATAGGGACTCCAGGAAGGCATGGATCTGCATAAGCTAAAGGTTGCCTGACAGGAGGGTCCAACTGGATTTAGGCTGTACACGACATACAGGACAGGGGACAGGATATGTGGGGCTCCAGGGCCCACAGGTCCTGTAGGGGAAGTCCTTGCACAGACAGCAGCCCTGTAGAAGCCACAGGTCAATGTGACCCTCCCCTAGCTTAAAGGAGAGATAGCTTCTGCCAGTCTTCCCTGAGAAGTGGAGTCTTATTTCTGACATCCCTGATCTTCCCCCCAGGGAAGTCTATGCTGCTTGGACCCCCTCTACCCTACCTGGCCTTACCCCAAGTCTGTCTCCACATGAACTCCAAGCTGTGGGTGGCAGCAAAGTGCTTCTTAATGGCATAATGTACCCTCTGGATCAACATGCTGGTCAGGTTGGCACGGCGCAGCAGGTAAGGCATGGTGGAGCTGTGTCCAAATGGGTCCACTGCCCAGCCAGAGCGTGGGGTTGCACCTAGGCAGGGTATGTAACCAGAGGCTCTGAACACCTCAGGGCCTGGCCTCTGGGCTCCCAGGTCCTAAGATCTCAGCTCTTGCCTTGCAGGGAGAAGATGCCATATGGACAGGCCCATGTTAACCTTGAGAAGAACTACCCCCTGACAATCCCTGTGCCTTACAGCATCATGTCACAGCACTCTGGGCCAAGCTATGGGGCCAGAACCCCACTTCTGGGCCTGGACTTACCAAGGTTTCTCTCCAGCCACTGGTGTCCCTCAATGAGCTGGTCAATCAATGCAAAGTAGTGGGAGTTGGCCTCATCTGGCATCACCCAGCCTCCTGTTGCAATCTCTAGCTGCCCATTTCCCACCAGCCTGAAGGTAAAGATGCATACTTAGCATGGGGTGGGGATGCTTGCCCAGTCCTGCCAACCAGAAGATGATGCTAGTGCCTGCATGTTCTGGCCCTACTAGGCTGGTTCACTCAAATCCAAGACTAAGAGAACACACACTTGCCCTCCTTTCCCTCCAGTCCAACCCCATGTTGTCCTGGCCCTGCTTATCTTGGGACTTTTGGGGGAAGGCCCCATGTTTCTTCTTCACTTACACTCAGACAACTCTGATATCTAACACTAGTGGCCCTCAAACCGTTGTTCCTCATTTCTGCCCCAGCTCCCTGTGCCTCTTCTTGCCACCTCAGCACCCACAGTATGAGACGAGACCTAGCCATTCAGCTCAGGCCCTCCAACGCCTCCCTAACTGCTACTGGCCTTCGGACTGCTGCTCTCTTTTGGGCATTGATGTTGTCCCACCACTTGGCAAAGAAGGAGACTTCTGCCCAGAGGAAGCGCCGCCGGGAGTCCTCCTGTAGCTTGGATACCATGCTGTTGAGGATGTGTTGGGTCTGCTCTGTGTAGTACTTGTCAAAGGTCTTGATCCAGCCTGGGGAGCCAAAAGAGTCTCCTGAGGATACCACCTTCTTCAATGATGCCATCTGCCCCTTCCTTACGTTTGCCATGAGAAAGCCCACTCCACACCCCCTCTTCTATGCCTACTAGACCTTCACCTGGGTCATTGTGTGAGTGGGGCACCACAAACACCTGCAGGTCTTCAGTATCCCAGTCATGTGGGCTGTAGGAGATGTCAAAGCCTTGCCTCCAAACGCCGCCCTCCACATTGTCAAATGGCAACTCTTCTGACACAGTTAGCATCTGCCAGGCAGGAAGGCAGTTCAGTGTCCCATCTGTGGTCACTGCAAGTCCCTGCCAGCTCTGATTCTTACCTGTAGCTCTGGCTTCTGGCCCCGGTCCTCCAAAGCAAACTGGCAATCCTGGGGGGAGATGGAGAAGAAGCTGGGCCGGGGCTCCGGGGGCACCACCCAGGATCCATTGGCTGTGTGGTAGGGCAGCAGAGCAGGTGGGCCTTCTGCATTGGCTGTCAGCTCCAGCACAGAGTCCTTGATGTGGCTGATAATTTCATGGTTCTCCTCCAACAGCTGCTCCAGCTGCTCAATGCGATTCTGCAGCACAGAAATTTGGCTCTGCCAGAAAAGCAAAAAACAATCACCCACAGCTCCTTATGCCATAGGGAAGGTCTCTGCTTAGTGTCTACCACCTGAGGCCTGACTATGAGCCCACTCTCCTCAATCAAAGCTAGACTGCAAGCCTACATAGATGGAAAGTTCTGGGAACCTCTCTACTAAGGACTAAGATCCATTTGGGTTAGAAGTTCTGTCACTTTCTAGCTCACAGATGGTAAAGGTTTCCTCTCACATGCCTATGCTCAATGATCAGTATTGCTTTTTGGAGCATGGAGCTGAGGACTGCACTGGGACTTAATGGGAAAAAATGCTGCAATCAATCAGCAACGTCTGCCAAAAATTCAGGAGGACACTTCATTTTTTTTTCTTCATTCTTTTTGTCATCACTATTTTTTGCTTCCTATTGGGGCTGGGATGTAGCTAAGTGATAAGTGTGCATGTTTAGCAAGCACAAGGCCTTAGGTTCAATCTCCAGCATAAAACAAAAACGAAAACAAAACAAAAACTTGCCTATTGAAAAGTAATGTTCCTATCCTGGGCTGACATAACTCTCCAGTCCAGGTGACAACCTGAACTCAGGTGATTTGTATATGAAGAGATTAGCAACCAGGCTTACTCACCCGTGGGAAGTTCCCACCATTCTGGTGTCGGGTGGGATCATGCTGTACTCTGTCCAGCATGAGGTACAGCGAAAAGACTGCCACGCAGAAGATAGCAGCCCCACACACTGTCACCTGCTTTTTCAGCTTCATACTGGCCTCCACACACCCCTAGCAGGAGAGACACCATCTGTAGCTCTGGCATGTAAAATCCCTTTGGTATCTTCCCACCAAATAGTTCCCAAGGGCTGTTCCCAAGGAACACCTATTTACCTGGCTCCAGTAAAAAGCTAACTCCTAAGCACAAGATCCCAACATTAGTTAAGTATCCTGACCCAACCCTGATTTTATTCTCTTGCTTCAGATTCCAAAAGCACAAGCAGCACATCTGGGACTGGTCCTGTCTGGTCCTGGAAACAGCTCTACCCCTAAGGTAGGATGATGCCCCCTCTCAGCTGATGATGTAAAATAGGTTCAAGAAAACAGAGTCCCACCTCTAGCCCCACATTTCACTACACAAATTCCTAATTGCAATCAGCTTTCCCCTGGGGCCTGCCCACAGGTGGAGCCTGTACAGGTTCCTTGGCCTTGTGCTTCTCCTTTCTAAGGAATAAACTGGTCTCTGATTTAAAGGTATAGCCAGAGGCCAAGAGGCAGAAAAGCCTTTCCACCAATCCTCTTGGATCAGACTGCCACTTAGCAAAAACAGTCTTTCGCACAGATCCTCAGTAAAAATAGTGAATGAATTTCTTTATAGAAAAGATGATGCTTCTGCTTCCAACATAAAGCTAGTCCTCCCTGTTCTCCTTTCCGTTAGTACTAATTCCTGTAGTGCAAAACTTTCAGTCCTGGCTTATAGAAGCTGTACGGGATCCCTGGGAAGCCAGCAAGATGCTGAAAGTCCCCTGGGTAGGGAGAGGCATAGCAGCTAGGCTGTGGGACAACTTCTGAGGACCGGAACAGCTGCCACCGCGGCTGGCCCCTACTTGCCTGGCAGGCGGAGGGAGGGCGGGACGGGACCACGCTCCAGAGACTTCTCCGGGCGCCCTGGGGCAAAGGAGCTCTGTTGCCTCTGCGTTGTGCCCTACTTAGCGCGATCTGATTCCTCTCAGGAGCCTCTGGGCAATTATTTTTAGCCCCTCCAGGCCAAAGTGGGTGGAGCTGGAGGAAGAGAGTTGGATCACAGGAGGGCTAGCACCTGCCGCCGGGTCTTCTTCAGCGCGCCCAGCCCCCTCCCGGGCCTCCCGGACTCTGCCCGCGCAGGAGACCGGAACGTCAGCTGCTTGGGCCGGGCCTTCCGCCCGGACCGACCTCTCAGCGCAGCGAGGTCTCTTAGCGCTCTAGTCGTCCAAGCCCGGCTGAGGCCGAATCAATTGGAACCCTCCCCCGCATCCGCTCGGCCCATTACCGTCTGCAGCTGGCCTCCGCGGCGCTCGGGACCCAGCCGGCCAAGCCGCGATCCCTCACATCCCTGGGGAAGGCGATCCCGCTCAGGCAGCGACGCAGGCGAAAGGCGGACTCCCGCCCACTGGTCGCCCACGGTTTCAAGCGCCGCAGCCGCGCTCCCGTGGGGGCCAAGGCCGCCAGCGCGCTCCGGTGCGCCCGCGCCGGTCCGCCAGCCTCCAGCGGCCACCCGGCCGAACAGCGTGCGGGGCGGGGACACACGCGCCGCGTCCCCGCGTGCCCCGCCCCGCCAGGCCCTACCGCCTCCTAAGTGAGCCCCGCAGCCCCCGCCCTGCTCCCGCGGCGCTGCGTGTCCGGTTTGGGCCCGGCTGCCCGAGCTGCCGGCGCCAAGAATCCAGGTGCCGGCGCCGGGGCCGCACTGCGCAGCCGCAGCCCGAGACCGGCCTTAGCGTGCTGCGGAACCTGAGCTGGGGCGCGCAACTTTGTTTTTTTATGAATCTTCCTAGAGTAAGCACATTTCACCAAACAGTTGCAGAAAATTCCAGCTCCTTTTCACCAGCCAGTAGTGGAGTGCGTTTTCCTCAGTCCGCCTTGATCAACTCTAGATAGTCTGTTTTCTGAAGTTACCTTCGCAGGCAAAGGGGTGCTGCCTCCTGTAGGTATAAATTAATGGAAATTCCTTTCCGTGCCACCCAGTAAGACACTCCCCCACCTTTTCTCTCTCTCCCCATTTTTGTACTGGAGATTGAACCCAGGGGCATTTTACTACTGGTCTACATCTCAAGCCCCTTTACACATTTTAAAATTTTTGAGGAGGGTGTGTGTGTGTGTGTGTGTGTGTGTGTGTGATGGGGGCACATCTCACTAAAATGCCCTGGCTGACCTTGAATTTGAGATTCTCCCGCCTTGGCTTCCCAAGTAGCTAGGATTATAGGCATATGCCACCACGCCTGTCTCAAATCCTTTCTATTTATTTGAAGCAACATCAGGTAACAGTGACCATCACTCTGATTCAGCAGGATCATCAGGCTCACTTGGAAGACCATAGTCAGGCTCCCCATTCTAGAATTATTCCAGATGCCACTGGGTATGGACATTAGCATCACCTGGCTTTCCCTCTAAGTTCAGAAGCTAGTCCACCTTTTCTAGTTCATTAAGCCAAGTGTGGCAAGAGATGTTGGCAACCACATAGATGCCGCCCTGAATGACCAGCATGATGCCCAGGGCAAGATGGCTGTCTACCACCTTTCATGCTATAGAGTACACTCTTACTCTAGTGTTTGACAGGGTAGTGAGAGAAGCACCTGGTTAGAATTTCCAACCCTCCCAGCTCTCCTTTGCCTACATAGGTTCCAGTAGCCTAATCTGCTGAAGGCAGGCATGAAAGGGAAAATGGAAAAGTGAGAAATATGTGATTTGGGTCTCTTACAACCAATTGGGGTCTCTTCTCCCCATCCCAGCCTTTAAGCTGAACATTTTATTTAATAAGAACTACCCATCCTGGAAATTGCCACAGTGAGAATAGACATTGCCTGGCTGGGTGTGGTGGCCCATCCTGTAATCCTAGCAACTCTGGGGGATGAGGCAGGAAGATCACAAGTTCTAGGCCAGCCTGGGCAATTTAGTGAGACCCTGTCTTCATGTTTAAATTTGTGTGTGTGTGTGTGTGTGTGTGTTCATTCCAGGGATTGAACCCAGGGGTGCTAAACCTCTGAGCTACATCTCCAACCTTTTTATTTTTTATTTTGAGACAGGATCTCACTAAGTTGCTTAGGGCCTCTCTTAGTTGCTGAGGCTGGCCTTGAACTTGTGATCCTCCTGCCTCAGCCCCACCACCCCCTGCCCCATGCTGCTGGGATTACAAGCATGTGCCAGCACCCTCAGCTTGAAATTTTTATAAAAGGGCTGGGAATGTAGCTCAGTGGTTCAATCTCCAGCACAGGGTGGGGAGGAACATGAAAAAAAAAAAAAAAAAAGAATACAAACTACCTTCTTTATGTGTGTATGCTCCCTTGGGAGTTGAGCTTTAGTTGTCCTTTTATCTTTTTTAGTTGATCTTTTAAGAAATTCAATCTATGTTTTATCTGGGTGCAGTAGTGCATACCTGTAATCCCAGCAATTTAGGAGGCTGAGGTGAGTGAAATACAAAGGCCAGTCTGGACAATTTAGTAAGAGCCCCATCTTAAAACAGAAAGTAAAAAAGGGCTGGAGATTTACTCAATGGTAGAATGTTGGTGGGATTGATGCCCAGTACCCCCACTGCCAATCCATTTTGTGTTTTGCTGATGCTGCTACCTGTCAGTGACACAGGGCATAAAATGTCCATCAATGTCCCAAGTGGTTCCCCATTGCTGGGTACTCTTGGTTATAAAGGCAGGCAGCTTCCTTGCCTAATTGGATGTGTCTGAAGAATACAAATATGTGACATTGTCTACTTAGGACTCCAAACAATATGGCCTACATCCACAGTGCATAATGGGAATTACTGTGCTATACCTGGAAAACCCTATATATTGCAATCAACATCCAGTGGTACCCTCAAGGTGGAAGTAGGTGGCCCATCTAGTCTATTTGTCAGGGCCAGAGAAGTAACCAGACTATGTGCTCTGGAGTTCTCTTTGCCACTCAACTGTATAGAGTATCTAGGCACATTAGCAGGACTTCTTTGGCTTCACGTTCTGGGATCACAAGTGCTTATTTTGGCCCTAGCCATAGATAAAATATCATATCCTATGTGATAGTGGCTGTAGCTTCTACTTGAGAGATCTCGCCAGCTGGTTGCTTCCATTGATATTCATGACAAAGGGTCCTTTTTCCATGGGCATCTCTCTTGGACGTGTGTCCCACTCAATCTATTGCCAGAGTGTCTCCAACTTCTATAGGAGTTGGGACTTAACCAGTTATACTGCTTCCAGGCTAGCCCATTGGCTATTGCTCATGAGTCAGTGAAACCATAGTGAGGTTCACCGTGAGAGGTGTTTCCCATACCAAGCACCACAGTCTAAATCTCTGCCTATTGGGTAGAATTCCCTTTTCCATGCAAATTTTTAAACTGTTATTTCTGTGGCTGCACAGCAGCAGCTGTTTTGTACATTAACTGGGCTGTCAGTTCTTAAGTCATGTCCAGGTTCTCAGGAGACTCAATGTACTTCGGACCCAAGAAACCCAAGATACTGGCAGTCTTTGGTCTTTGTCTCAGGGTTAGCCACACCTTTGCCTTTTTTTTTTTTTTTAACTCAGGAGCACTCCACCACTGGTCACATCTCCAGCCCTATTTTGTATTTTATTTAGATAGGGTCTCACTGAGTTGCTTGGTGCTTCACAGTAACTGAGACTGGCTTTGAACTCATGATCCTCCTGTCTCAGCTTTCCAAGATGCTGGGATTATAGGCCTGTGCCTTTTCACATGGCCTGGCCTCTTTTTATGGAGGAAAGAGATTCCACAGATGCCTGGTTCATTCTTTTCTTGGAACACTTCCTCTTTAATGAATAATGCTTGGTAAGCAATCTGGCATTGTGGCACACCCTTGGGAGGCTGAGGCAGGATGATCCAAGGTTGAGGCCAGCCTGGGCAATTTAGCAAGACCCTGTCTCAAAATAAATAAATTAATTAAAAGGGCTGGTTTATCAGACAAGTGCCATGTGTCCTAAAACCCACAGATGCCTTTGCCTCTGGGTGATGTCCTTCTTCCACGGGTTCTAGTCTGTGTAGCTGTCAGTCATTGACACTTTTCATCCAAAAGCCTAGTGTTCAGGGCACCACTCATAGGTGGTACCTTTTGGGTAACCTTGTGTAGTGGGCTGAATACATCCTGTTGATAAAACCGTCTCTCATGCTCAGACATGCCCATCGGATGTTTTACCTCCTTTGGTTTGCTGGAAGTTTTAAGGCCAGTTGTTTTGTTCTTTTTCTTTTCCTTTTTTTTTCTGTGACAGGCTTGGGAATTGTCCTCTGGGTATGGGTCCACATGGTGCCCAAGAACTTTACATGTCTGGCCTCTGTATCAGGTTAATTTTTCAGCTTTGGTCAACCCATCCAATCTAAGGAAGTTTGTACAAGTTAATTCTCTAACTGGATGATGTTATTAACATAGTCATACTAATATACTTCTGATGGGATCTCAGGCTTCTCTATGTCTGGCCAGCTGGCCTATCCGTTGGTGGCAAATCATAGGGGAATGCAGGTACCTCTGTGGCAATACTATAAAGATGCATTGTCGGGCTAGGGTTGTGGTAGAGTGCCTGGCACCTGCAAGGCAATGGGTTTGATTCTCAGCACCACATAAAAATAAACGAAGCATACAATTCGATGTTTTTTTTTAAAAAAAGATGTGGGCTGGAGTTGTGGCCCAGTGGGAGAGTGCTCACCTAGCACATATGAGGCACTGGATTTGATCCTCAGCACCACATAAAAATGAGAAAAGATATTGTGTGTCCACCTACAACTAAAAGAATATTTAAAAAAAAATAACTTATTAAAAAAGATGCATTGTCACTCAAGCCAATGAGGGTAAAGTAGTTTTCATCTTCCACATGCATTGGAAAGATCAAAAAGGCATTAGTAGGAGCTGGGATTGTGGCTCAGTGGTAAAGCATTTGCTGGGCATGTGTGAGGCCCTGGATTCAATTCTAAGCACCACATATAAATAAATAAATAAATAAATAAATACAATAAAGGTCCATTAACAACTAAAAAAATATTTTAAAAAAACCCAAAAAGGTATTAGTAGCCTGTAATCCCAGTGACTCACATGTCTGAGGCAAGAGGATTGCAAGTTCAAGGTCAGCCTCAACAGTTTAGTGAGACTGTCTCAAAATAAAAAATTAAAAGGGCTGTGGTAAAGACACTCTGGGTTCAATTTCCACTACCGCAAAAACAAAACAAAAATTGACATGAGTACTCTGCATACTAGGTGACTTCGGTCTGTACAATGAGCTCTATGATATGAAATAATCCATAAGATGCCAAGGTCAGGGACCTTTTGTACTTGCCACTCAGGCTCCCTCCACCCACTGTTCTGTATTGCTTTGCAGTAGCCACTTGGCTAGGTCTAGACGATGAACATTTGTCCCTATCTAAGTCCCTCTCCAAGGACCTGGTCCTCCAACTTAGCCTGTTTGAGCAGTGGGGAAAGGATAGTGCTGAAAGTGGTGGGTCAAACAGTAGTCCCAACAGCACAAACCTCAGCTTGATGTCCCTCCTATCAGTCCACAGGAAATGTTAAAGCTGGTCCAGTA